GCTCCCAGCTCTGTGCCTTCTCAGAACTCCCATTACAGTATCTAGGGAAGCTGAAAAGTTACTAAATTATCCCAGATACAATTCCCAGAGCCAGAATTGCTTGCACACTCATGCATTTGTCTAAAATTTGATACACTTCATTGGGGGTTTTTTAAATATTTTTTTTTCCACATTCAGTCCCAGAACCAAATGAAAAGAGTTATGAAAAGTTTGAACTATTTCAATAATTGGAAAATCATGTCCCTAATGATGAGTGGTTTGAAGTTTCCTGGAGCATTTTTGTACTTTTATTTTTGTAAGAACTGGGTTCTGGAAACTAGTCAAGTATAGGATCCAAGACATACTGAAGCCTTTTAAAAGCCTGTGTTCTATAAATGTAGGTTTTAAAGAATGTGTAAAGTGGGAGTGGTTGCAAGAAACGTTTAAGAGATTTAAATTTTAAAAAAACAAAGCAAATTAAAACAACATGACCTGGTAGAGAGAAAATAGTATGTTAGGAAATGTTGCAAAATAATAGGATAATCCTGTGAAAAAGTCACTGCACTTGAAAAAAGACCTTTAAAAGCTCTCAGTCATGTATTACAATTGTTAAATAAGTAAATCTTACAATATGGTGGCAGAGTTATAAGATGCACTAGCAAGACTGCTGCAGTGGCTGTACTTAGGGAAGAACTGAGAGAAATATGGCCCTGTGAGTGCTGTGTGAAGGATGGCCTCTGCCTGCCTCTGTGTCAGGGTCTGCCATGGAAACCCAGGCATGTCCACGTCTCTCAGTGGTGCTGCTCCCATGTAGTGGGTTCAAGAACTATAATGCAGAGCAGTCAGCCAAATGATTTCTGTGCTTTTTAGCAGATGGCTCCAAGACCACAGCTGGAACAAGGCTGCTTCTGCGTCTCTTCAGCCCAGCCCAACACAAATGGGCTACGTTTTAAAAGCAAACACTTGCTTTGAATCTCATTCATTCATGTTGGGGTATTCAGCCTGTGGGGAAGCTGAGGGTAGAGTGCATGTGCCTCACATGTCCACGTGCACATGCCCCTTCTCCTCCAGGAATCTGGGAAAAGGTGAAAGGCTGCAGTTCTCTGACTTCCCTCTTTGCTAAATGGTTTTGTGCCTGGATAAGAGAGAAGGAGACAAGTGTGTGTTGTCCGAGGTTTCATCTTACCCTCTTCAAAGGTACAGATATCTCGTGTGTGTAACCAAGCCACAGACAAAACAGCGCAAGCTCTGATTGTGCCGTGGACGTGCAGTGGGTTTGGCAGAGAAACTGGGCCATAGCTGAGGCATCATCTCTCCATGGCACTGAGACATGTGTGTCTACCCAGACACTGCCAAGTGGTGTTTTAGGGGCCACAGAAGGTGATTCAGAAAAGGTAGGAAGACTAGTGTTGTGGCAGAGGTTCAGCTAAAGGCTTTTGGAGCTAATCCATATCTTATATTCTCCTGTTCCTGAAATGTGATTATTATAGCCAAGGACATGCTGCAGGAGCTGTCCTTGGTCAGCTTTCTTCAGCACCCTAAAATATTCTTCTTTGTTACTTCTACCAGATAACTGTGTTACTGCTTTTGGAGAAATAAAACTCAGTTTTGCTCAGCATCCCATTGTCAGAATTTCTTATGCATAGTTATTACCCTCATTTAGTAAAATGTATAGTGATACTAAGTGTTTTCTGCAGTGTAAATGTGCCTTCCACAGTATGAATTAATACACTGATTCAAGTGGCATTAAAATGAAAAGCTATTTTGTACAGCTACCTGCACTGCACAATAACTGTGATAAAAAAAATTTTGTACAAATTGCTCAGAGGATCACACCAGTGATTGAGGGGAAGCTCTCCCTGGCACATTAGGTCCCAGAGACTGAGCCTAGGACAGGGGGCCCTGATTGTCTGCTGCTGTTGTAGGTTGGTGTGTGAATAGTGGCTTTGCACAGCTGAACAGCTCAGGTCTATTCCAGGAGCTTCTATGTCTTTTTTGTCCTTTTTGTGCTGATCGGAGTCCAGAAGTATTGCTCAATCAGTGGTGCAACAGAAATGGGGTGAATAGTGTTGATTCATTAACTTTTATTGACTAATCATTTCTTTCAGCTTTAGAAGCATTTGCAAAGAAATTATAGATATTGCCGTATATCACAGTCAACAGCTGTTCTTCTTGCCAGACAGACAGTAAGTCAGAAAACATAATTTTACCTTGCAGGTATCAAGCATACTGTTAGTGCCTGGGAAGGGTTCCAGAACAAAAGATTGATGCTGGAGCTGATAGTGACTGGCTTCCCTCTGTGGAGGGAGAACAGTAGGTCTCAAGGGGCAGCCGAAAGTCATGTGAGGTATAGCAGGTCATAACTGCCATGAAATCTGGCTGGGCATTGAGTTGGACTACATGCTAAATTTATTCATCTTTATGATAATAGATGTAGGAATTACTTGGTCAAAATTAGTCAGTGATGTTGTGCAGGCAGTTGGAGTAGCAAAGTGTTTCTCTTCCTTTGCAAGCTGGTGATCTTAACATTGAAATAACATTTTTACTGGCTTCCTATGGAACTCCTTATGTGGAATGACTGTGTGTGGGATGAGGATCTTTGCAACTGTGGGTTTTGTACAGAAATTGCTTATGCTCAAAAGAGAGTAGCATGAGGGCAGAGTGTGAATGGAGTTTTCTTTCTGTTAAATGATAGTAGGTTTTCCAGTGCTTCTTGACCATGTTTGATTACCCTCCACTTTTTTTAAGAAATAGGACCAAGACAACATAATGTTCTGTATTGGCTACTCCATGAGTGGAGTCCTGAAGCACATTTGAAATATGATATGGATGTTGCCAGGAATAGAAACCTCTCCTGGGAAATGAATGCCACTACTCATCAGTGTCTATCCAGCAAGTGTAGTGTGACTTTTTGTTTCACAAGAGCATAACTGGAATCACCACAGCTTTTACTTGTGCATTCAGAAACTTTGCCTAGAAAATGTCTGTATGTAGCAAAGAAAGTTTTAGGGGACAGTTCCTCTACAACTGCCAGATATAATGCAAAAAGTTGATGTGAAAATGAGTTGACCCGTCAGCTATGATGAGATGTGTGCTGCTCTTTTCTGAGAGTTGGATTATTGTAATTCAGAAATGTCAGTTCTGGACCGGTCGTAGTTGGAGAAGGACGCAGCTATCTAGCAATCCACTGAGAATAACATTACTCCATTAGCTGGCTTCATCCATAAGACTCTTGTGATGTAAGTCAATGATTTTAGCTTTATTATATATCTTGTCCTGTTTTTTATATTTGAGAGAGGGAGTAACTGCCCCATACCACACCACCCTCACTAAAGCCAGTACATCCTGTTCTATTTATTAAATCTTTTCAAGATGAGGTCACACTTTTTAAAATTGCCCTCAAGTTCTGAGAGTTACAGACTTAAATTCTGCTCTTTCCTCCCACTTGCAGAGGAATTCCCTCTTCCATGCAAATGCAGCTCCGCTGATCTGCGCATGGAGGTCTGACCCCATCCTCTGTTCCAATTGTCCCTGTGGGTAGTGCAGTAACTGCTCTGTAGGTGCAGTTCTTTCACTCTCTTCTGGAACCCATTGAGTATAAAGCCTGCTGAAGGCTGGGAAGCAGCAATTCAGACTGTGAATACTGACATCTGGTTTCTTCTGGTCTGATGTGGAAGAAAATGCACCAGGTGCTGCAGGGGAGGACATCTATCATAGCATGAGTACTTTTACCACATGAAAAGGAACGTCAGCAGGATAGTGGGAAACTTTCTGCTTGTGAGCAGAAGAATGGCTCTCCCTTATAAAGACTAAGCTTCTGAGACCTACAGTGGTCAAAAAACACCACTGGTCCAGCTTCACCAAGAGCTGTCCTCTGAGTCTCTCACTGAACACTTTTTTCCACATGAATCATTTCATGGAAACTGAGGGGCTGCTGTGGAACTTTCTGCACAATGACCTTGGATTCAGTAATTAAGTCTCAAAATTTGTGCTGCAAAAATCTTTAGTGACGAATAACAAAGGGGAAGAATATTTTATTTTACACTGGGTGCTTGTCTGGCAGTAGTTGTAGGATGTGATCCAAACCCATTGAATGTCAGTGACTATCTTTCTGTTCACTTCAGCGGAGCTGACCTACAGGGCGCTTTGTTGTGGTTCATCCTTATTAGTCAAGTTTAATCTGGCAGTGCCTAGGGGTGAGCCTAGGATGGCTCTGCTCTATTATTCAGGCACAAAGGAGGCCGTCTGGGCTTGTGCTCTAAACAGAGACATCAACAGAGCAACCAACCATCATACCTTCCCACTGATTGGGAAGGGGCAACAAGAGAGAGGGAGAGAAAATTAAAAGCTTGGAGCCTTGGTATGGAGAAAAAGAGATGGCAAAAGAAGACATCCACCAGTGTTGATATTCCCCTGCAATGGCTTGTGAATGGTTTATCTTGGCCAATTCCCATTGTCTCTGTACCCCAGACCCACTGCATGTGCATTCAGATAACCTCTGCATGGTCTCAGGAGAAGAAGTTAACTGAGGACCTAAGCACCTGATCCTGATCTCAACAACCTTTAAGGGTTTATACACCTCTCAGTTAAGCATGTGCTGAAGTGCTTTGTTAGTGTGGTGTCAGGTGTCCTGAGCCTAGAAGGGCAGAGGGAGAGAGTTTTATACTAACTAGGCTCTGTGAAGAAACAGAAAGTGTTTGTGATTGGCGTAGCCAGTGTGGAATACACCTCAAACACCAAATTAATCTAATTTGAAAGCTCTGAATTAAATCTGTTTACTGTGATGGAGCCTCCCACAGTTCCCCACCTTCTTTTTGTTTCCTGGTATATTTTCATCTGGGAAAGCTGCAGTGTGAATGTGTTCTCCGTGCCCAGCTGAACAGCAATACTGCTGCATTTTTTGGTATTATTGTTAAAAAGGAAACACCATTAGCTTCTCTGCCTTGCTCCTTTAGATTGCCTTGCATTCCTGTTTAGATCTTAACCAAAAGCTACTTACCTCCCTGTTCTTATCCTTTCAGCTTCTTCAAATGCGATGACTCAGCAGCTACAGGATGAATTTGACAGTAGCGTGGAGAATGCAGAAGCTTGGATGAAGGCCATCCAAGAGAGACTGAGGATCAATGACAACACCAAAGGACCTCGATCTGCCCTAGAAGCCAGACTGAGAGAAACCGAGGTAAGGGGAGAGTGACGTAGCCATTCAGAGGTGGGAGTCACTTGCTGCCATTGTTAGAGCAGTTATTACTGTGAGCTCTGGAGTTTTCCATTAAGAAATTGTCAGCTGCCCCTGGTTTTTGGAGCATTGATGCTGCATGGATGGGTTCACATCAGTACTTTTTCTAATTTTTTCCATCTGCAAAATGTTTACAGACATAGAAAAAGAGGATGGCAGTTTAATATCACAGGCTTCCAAGACTAGCAGTGGGTTTGGCAGGTTAAAATGTTTACAGTGTTCTGTGAGCATGCTCAAACTTGAAACAGTTTTGTTGCTGCTTGCAATTACCATAGTAATTTGCTGAAGACCAGCAGGTAGTATAAGAGAATCAGATCACGTTGGTGTTTCATCTCCTCCAGGACTCTGGCACTGAGAGGGAAATACTGCAGTGTCCTGGTAATGGCTGTTCTAGAGTAATCCCTTTATCCTTTTCCATAAACCCTGATAATAAGATGGTTTACTGGTCCCCTTTGTCTTCTTTCTAATGAAAAGGTAAATGTTTTCATTTTTTCCTGGTTTTACTTAATCTCTTGTATAACTCTTCTCACAGAGATCCTGTTGCAGATTATGCCTGCTCTCTTACTGTGATTTTGCATTCATTAACTTCAGTTTCATTAGATGTTATCTAGGTCTTGTAATCTCAGAGAAGGAAACACTCCTGTTTGTCCCATCTCTACCATTCATGATTAAAGGGAGTGGTGATATTTCTGTGATTAACACTGAAACTATTTTTATACCTTTATTACCTTTAATTCCATCTAGTCTGTACTTTAAATTGCAAAATCTTTCCCATTGTTATTTACCCAAAATTCTTTTTTTTGTGTGTGTCTGCTCATATTTGGCCTGTCTCTTCTGAAGTGAAATAATTTAAAAAAAAACTGCAGGCATACATGAAGGACAAGGTACTTTACATGATGGTGCAGTGACGTCTTCAGCCTTTTAACTTAACTGTGGTTTACTGGAGGATGGATCTTGCCTCTGGTGTATTATAGAGGCTGTTCATGGAGTGGTAGATGGTAGCTAGACTTGCATGTCGGTCATGAATATCTGAAGCATTTCCTCTGGGTCTATAGTTTTATTTTTCTGCCCTTAAGTTGTATTCACCCTTTCCTTTTGTTTGGGAAACTGTAATGTGTAGTCTCAAAAAACAGGCAAGAAACACAGGAGCTCGAGTAGAAGAGTGGTAGTTTGGAAAAGGGGGATGCATTCATCGCAGAAATAAGAAGTAATGTCTAGAGGTTTGTAGTGATTTGATATGGCCAGAACCAAAGCCCACTGACTTTTGTGGGCTTTAGAGGAGATCTGTAACATGCAAAAAGTCATGTTAGGAGATTTTTTCAATTCAGACTTTGGAAATCCATCATTCTAAAGGTTAAAAAGTGTCTGTTCTCTCATCCTGTGTGTACTTTAACTACCTCCTGCTCCTTCGTTCTGCCTCCTTCCTGGGCTTGGCTTCCCTCTCCAGCTCGTGTGTCCTCGTGATGTGCTTGCTGCTTCACTATTGGCTGTTTTCAAACCCAGTGATCAATTTTCAATTCCTTTTTTGCGTCTGGCTTGTCAGTTTTTTTCATACTTCCTTCCTGTGGTTTATTTTCAGTTAATTTGTTAATGCAAATGCTGGCCAACGATAGCAATCATGGAGAAAACAGATTTGAAAAAGAAAAATACTGCTTTCTCTCTGGCTGTTGTTTGCTTTCTATTGCTTGAAAAATGTCAGGCTTAGAAAACAGCTTTATGCTTAAATTTTTCCTGCTGGATGATGGCTCTGGCTTGTATTTTTTTTTTTCTTTGCTCTACCCTTTGCCGTGCTTTCCTGGATTCTATTAATCACACTTTTCATAGTAGATAATTTGTCCAAACACCTGTTTGTACGTCACATGCAGGTGTGCTGTGTACATGCCAAAAGAACAGTCTTTTCCCAGAATGTGAGACTGGAAATCCAAAGGTCTTTTATTTGGTCTCACCTTTGCAATAACTGACATGATTTTTTTTTAAACAAGTCCCATAGGTCTAATTTTTCCAGAAGTAATTGCTGATTTTGAAACTCTCAGTGTTTTTGTTATAGAAGCCTTTTCCTTCAAACTCAAAAGCCTGCAGTTTTCCAGGAGTTTATGGAAGAATAGCAAGAAAAGCTAATCTGATGGTATCAGAAATTTGGATAAAGTGATGTTGAAAGCTGACATCCAAATTAGAGCGTAATTAATCTGTTATATTGAACAGAACTTGTTCATTTTTTTCCATTTCTGGATAGAGGAAGACAGTCTACTTTAAATTAGATGACTCAGTTTCAGTTCCTGGCATTCCTATTTGTGCAAGATGCACATTTTCACCAACTTGTAACTTAGCAATTTAGGGTCAAAGTAAAACTTGGTAGCAGACAGAAAATTCCACTAGTTAATTTCTCCTGGCTTGTTTTCTAAGCCAACTTTTATTTGGACTAGGAAGCCTTTTTAGTATGCTTTATGATTTCTTATATTAGACCTTAAAATTGAGATGTTGCAGTGTACCCTGTGGAGATTGGCTCTACGTGCTTTGGCAGGTGGGGAGGAACAGCTGGCCATGTGGCAACAGTGCTATAATTTATAACAGCAGTGGAAACACAGCCACAGGCGTTTCATAGAATATTATCTGTTTTTTCTAGCTAACTTAAATGCTTTTCATCTGCTTTTGTGGCTTTAAATTCAGTTCTTTAGAATGTTTAAGAATAAACAAGTCTGAAGAAAAGCAGATATTTTTCTTTCAGGAGAAGCTTTGCAGCAGGGAGTCAGGTGAGAAGTGTTAATTGTCAGTGTTGTATAGAAACATTTCCATCCCACCCTAGTGTTAGGTTAACGATCGGACTTATTGATCTTAAGGGTCTTTTCCAACCTAAATGATTCAATGAGTTCATGATTCCTGGGTAAAACCAAAGTTGACATTTCATCAATTATGCTTGCTTTCTTTTCATGCTTTCAGTTATCATTTGTTTTTCTCGTAGAAAATACGTGCACTGGAACCAGAAGGCAGCTTGAAAATGGACTTGGTTCTTGTGAAGGCAGATGCTGCTCTTCGCAGCATCAGTGAGGATAAGAAGCATGAGGTACTATCTAAACTGAGAGACATTAAAGCCTTGTGGGAAGAGACAGCCATATACATTACCCATTGTCACAGGTAAGATGAACGTACTCTTTGGTGTGCTGAGGCAGTTGTCTCATCCCATGCTTTCTTAAAACACTTCCTGCCTCTCTCTTCTGCCTGGATTGTAGATAGAAATCCCTGTTAATAATTCCAGTCCCATGAACATTTTTGGGACTGTGTGGGGAGAGAGGGTCAGTGGGACCTCAGTGCTCTGCCTTCACAGCCTGGCCCAGCCACCTCATTGTCTGGTTTAATGAGTTTGGTCAGGCACAGGGACTTTGCATAAAGTATTTCCTCCCCAGAGGAGGGAAGGCCTAGGAAGTGAATCCAGACCCTGTGAAATCAGAGCAGCTTAAAATTACTGAGAACCTTGTCCATTGCTTTGAAGGCCTTACGAGCTTGTTGGTCTCCACTGCTCCCATCTTCATTTGATCTAACTCATCTCTCCTGCTCTCCCAACAGCCGTATTGAGTGGGTCTGGCTGCACTGGAGCGAGTACCTGAAAGCCCAAGATGAGTTTTACACATGGATTCACAACATGAGGGTGACCTTGGAACCTGACATTGAGTTGCAGCTTGGCTTAAAGGAGAAGCAGTGGCAGCTGAGCCATGCTCAGGTTCTGCTGAATGATGTCTTAAATCAGTCAGTCCTGCTGGAAAGGCTGCTAGAGGAAGCTGCTTCCTTGTTCAGCAGGATAGGTGACCCCAGTGTTGATGAGGATGCTCAGAAGAAAATGAGAGTGGAATATGAAGGAATCAGACAAGAAGCTCAGGTACACTTACAAAGAGCGGGAGGTGCTCAAATCGTACTAGTATTCATACATTTCACCATACAGTGTTGTTTGCTATCTGCTCCTTCAGTGATGGTGCCTGGTAGGACAGCAAAAGGAAACAAAGCTGAGGATTCCCCTTCTTTCAGTCTTGACTGTTTGCAACAGTTGTGAAGTTCCAAGATGAGCTGTTAATTGGGATGCTCTTACACAGTGCCATACAGTATGTTGGACAGTAACTGCAAGATGCTTGCTGTGTCCTAGTGGATGTTGCTTTAGGCTGTCCTGTATAAAGTTTGAATTGTTCCTCATCTTTCAGCACATTAGTGATTTTTGTATAACCAGATGCAAAGTACCCATTCCTGGAGCCAAGGAATATTACATACACACACCCTTGTTGGAGAAGTAACGCTTCTGCACTCCCTGCTTGCAGAACTGGGAAACATGGAGCTGGGAATCAGCTGTGGCCCAACGCTTTGCTCAGCTAGCCATTTCCAGTATCTGAAGGATTTTCAGGCACACAGATACTAGTTCTTGCCTGGTGCTAATCTTACGGTTTGATTAGTCATTAGATAGGCTGTCTTACTTAATCTTTCAGTACCACTGATTTCCTCTGACCCTATTCTTGAGTGAAGATTTCAGAAAAGGCTCATACTTTTCACTTCTAAAACTCAGCTAAAGGTAGGACTAGACCATGTGGTATGGCTAAGGGGCAGACATCTGTGGGTGGATAGAGGAATTCAGTTTCTTACTAATGAATCAATAGAAAGACTTAAAGGTATATTTTAAATATATGTGTAGACACATCTATCTCAAACACAGAAATTAAAACCTGTTTTTTGTCTCACAGTGGCTTCCAGGAGTTTAATAGTTTAGAGTTACCTGATGCAAATATACAAATAGTTTTCATTACATTGGTTCTGCTATCTGCCTCTGTTATAATTCTGCCTTCTATTTATTCCTACACCTGAGTCTAGAACTGGAGCCTGACAGCAGTGTATGCTTTCCCTCCCTGGGTGTTGTCATACAAAGTTAACTAAAGATCACACTGGAAGAACAACACTGGGATACTTATGCCATTTCCCCCTTTTCTATACAGATATTTTTAATGAAAAATACCCCAAACCTCTAAATAACAAAAAAATTCTGAGCTGGCACCTTTTTTGAGCATGAAATTCAGATATTTTTTAGCCATAAAGGTAGAACTACTGCTAATGTCCCTCCAAAATCTAGAGTATATTTTGAAGTTCTGTAACTGCAGCTTCCACAGAGAAGCCATCAACAGACTTTAGCCTCAACATTGATTATTTATTTTTGAAGGTCGATCTTGATTTCAAGGCAACTGGTTTTACAAATAAGAAGGTTTGTGGGAATTTAGGTGTTGTGAATCTGGATTTCCATTTAAAATTCTCATTCACTCCCTCCTAACCAAGATTTGTCTTTGGTTTTGAAGCAGGAGACAGTCATTATTTAATAAGGCTGTTCCTTCAATCACGTAATTTGAATACTCAAAGCCAGAATTTGACCTTTCTGAGACTCATTTTACATAGTGTGATTTCTCTAACTGACTTGGATAAATGATGGTGTAAATGAGATCAGGAAGTGGCTCATAGTAGTTAGACAAAATATGTCTCTATGTTTCCAGCCAACTGAGACACCAGAAAAAGCTTTTCTTTGGCACTGGTTATAAATAGCACATTTCTAGAAGGATGGAGTGAGAGAATCCAGTTAAGAAATCCCTCTTTCAGAAGGTATGGAACAAAAAAGGGAGTTGTGAAGCCTTAGATTTTTCAACCAAAGTAAAGACAGAGTTCATTATCTAATGCCAAGGTTACAGGTGCCTTGGGAATCATGTTGGAAAGTATAGCACTAGTTAGAGAAACCCTGACATCTCTTCTAACAGGCGGGAAGAATGAATGAAAGAGATACAGAGTTGTAAGGGGATTGCCCCTGCCCCTCACATGATGCAGATGCCAGCTGAATGCCTGAGCTGCCTCCCAGAGGAGGCTCACTGGTGTTTGTAGATTACACTTGTGTTTGAAGAACATTTTTAGATCCTATGCAGTTGTCCAGCTCTATCAGAAGGCAGGCTTTTGGTCGGTGTTTATTAAATGGTTTGTCTGTGATATTGCTTCTCTGGTATGAGCAAATGGTGAGTGTGGTTTTTGTTTTTGGGTTTTTTTTTCTTAGTACTAACATGTGTTCTTAACATTTCCAAATTTTAAAAGCACATATTTTCTTTTAACTGCATTGATGGGAATATTTTTAGATGTGGAAGCCGTTTCCTATGTGCTTTCCCTTGCCCAGTAATTTACCATATGCAGAGACAGATGATTGTGGGTTTTAGCGTAAATGGTGTCTGAAGATGGTAAGAAAAGTTGATATACAGTATGTTGATATTTAGGCAAATATATAAAATATTTCTGAGCACAACAAATTAATTTCAACCCATGTTGTCTCTGTTAACTGAAACCTAGACAGTTATAATGGGTTTGCTCAGGTACTCTAGAGCTAAGACTAAAAGCACCAGGAAAGGCTACAGGAGCTTTCTGTACTTTACTTGAGAAACCACAGAGTTTAAAACAGGAACTTCCTTTATGTGGTCTAGATTGCCTTCTGGAGAAGGCTTATTTGCTTTTGCTGACTGTAAGGGGATCTTAAGGGAGAGGGTTTCCTTATGCCTTTATCCACCTTCCTTGAGTACCCAGGGCTGGGCATATGCTGCTCAGACACATTTCTTTCTCTGCAGCCTATGGTAAAACCATTTTTTTCCTGTCGATGCTTTCACTCTTTCCAGGGCCATGTCCTTCATAATGTTTCCTCACATTAACCAAGTGCATGTGGACGTTGAGTTTCCCAGTCCTGCTCCCAGAACAACTAACCTAATAGGAGCAAGTGATACCATATTTTCCATCATTGGAAAGTTTTTCTGCTTAACCTCTTGGGGGGCTGACTCAGCCACCTCTTTGTAAGCCTTTTGTCTGACAACTTGTAGTCTGTCCAGATCCATGGCATCTATTCCTTGATCTCATGGACCAGCAGCACACCCAAATTGTGCACTCCTTTGTTTTGGCTGAACAGCCTTGGCCAAGGGTGGGTCATTTTGACTTCCTTTTAACCCCCCTATGTATTAGCATAAGATTTTTGAGCTTAATATGTGCACTTTGTTATTCTGATTTACACCCTTTGGAGCTTCTATCAGTGCAACAAATTAGCCATAGTTCTGCCTGTATGGGTGGTGCAGCATTTCATCCCCCATGGGAAGCAGTTGTCCCTTAGCTATCACTCTTTTGTCACACAGTGAGTCAATGAACTTTAGGGGAATTACTTGTCATTTGCACAAGTCACCAGAGACTGCAGTGGCAGCACAGAAAACACGCCAGTGTTGTACCACCTGCAGAGTGGTGGCTTTGTATTGTACCATGGGCTTAACCCCTCCTAAAGGTGAACAGCAAAGTCCCAGAATGACCACAACCCCAGCACATGGGAGATCCTATGGTGACTGATGGTTATGCCATCCTCCTGTTTTCCTGGCTGGCAAATAGGCTGACAGTGGTGATAGCTCACTGCCACCTCAGGCAGGTTGAGAAGTGTGGGGACATGTCCAGAGCGTCACAGAGACAAGGGAAATACAGAGGGGACTTTGCAGCTCTGCCCACCATTGCAGCTGTCACTCTGCTCCTCTCTGTGGAGGGCAGCTGTGAGGAAGCTCTGCTCAGAGGCAAGTGATTTGTCCTATATTACACAAAATGAAACTTGTCCCATTGTCTGCAACAGCAAACCTTTTCAAGGGTGCTGCAGGCACTAATGAATTGCACAAGGAAAGAGTTCTTTTTCCTAATGTACCCATGGTGTAGCTCAATTGCGCTCTATGCCAACTGGTGAAGGGCAAGAAAAAGTCAGTCCGATTTTCCAGAAAATAATACTTAAGTTGGATATTATACTAGTGAAACAACAGAGCAGGATTCCTTGTGATTCATGTCAAAAATCAAAAAGGCTTGAACTTCAGCTGGCAAACAAGTCTAGTCTGAGCAAACATGACCCTGTCTTGTGAGGAGTGCCAGACTGGATCAGCAGGGAGCAACCTGTGATGTGCAGGCCCCTGTAAATTCAGGAATTATTGATAATAGGGTGCACATGCAGTAACTTGGAAAATGAAAACTGCTTTCCGCAGGCTTGAATTTGTATCCAGAGTCTGTGATACCACTACAGAGTAGTTTGTAATCTGCTAAGTGAGTAAGTGTGAGTGTACCTAGACTACATGATTGAAGGTGATGGTCATTTTCTATGCAGCCTGTTTAAATAATGAACACTTTAAAATAATTTGCATACCCCATATTACAATCTCTCTATCTCAATCTGTTGTGTGCTCATCTCTATTTTTAACCAACAAGGGAAATACAAGTGCTTGTCTCCCAAAGTAAAAACCAGAAGCAAACTTCCATCTCTTTCTCTAATGAGATAATAAGATATGTTGGGTAGGAGAGGCCAAAAATTCATTTGAGAGGACCTCGCAGTGTGTCTTCTCAGAGACTAGACATTGAGAGCCTGCAGCACAACACAAATAGGGACAAGCCCTTACGTATTTTTGTAGTCTGTTTCTCGAGGTGAACTTTGAACTCCTGTGGAGGCCAAGTGTTATTGGGGCTCAGGGAAAGGGACTCTTGTTTATAAGTTCTGGGTTACAATGTAAAGGAAAAAGAGCCAGATAAGCACTATCCTCACCACTTCTGATGTCTCTTGTTACAGAACAGAGTGAAACTGCTTGAAACGATAACCAAGGAACATGAGCAGTACAGCGCCAATGTCAACCAGTTTCAATCGTGGCTGAATGGGGTGACAGAAAGATTAAACTGCTGCGTTGGAGAGGCAAACAAGTCTTCAACAGAGGACAAGTTAAAGGCACTGAAGGTCCTTGAACAATATAACTCTAATAAGGAGTTAGGATTGTGTGTTTTTCATGCCTATATGTGTTGCTCGATCCGCACAAGGGTGTACTTGAGAAAAGAATTATATGAACTAAATAAGATGGTGATTTTAACATGGGCTAGGGCAGAAGAGTTGTATCAGATCCTAAAACTCTTAGTACATATGGTTCTCCCAGCTGTAGCATGAGTCACAAATTGGTCTGTTTGGTTTTTCCTAAAGCCTGATCTCCTGCGGTTATGTGATTCTTTGAAAATATTTTCCTCTAAACTTGTTTAAATAAATAGTATTTGGTAAACATGATTCAAATAGATCCTAAAAGTTCACAAGTTTTGAGAGTTTAGAGCTGATGATGAAAATACCAGTTTTGAGAACAATATCCATTATTTTGGTGCCACTGCTTCAACTATTTAGCTTAAAAATCTCTGAGATTCTAACTATTAATATTTCTCTAGTGTCTGCAGCTCCTGTTTTCTTTGTCAGGGACCTCAGGTGACAAGCATTTATGAAAATCAAGCCAATATTTTCAGAATCGTGGCAGTTAGTATTACTCGGAAGTCAGTCAAATGATCAGTCTTGGCTTCTGGTCACTTGAAAAAAGATATGTTTTGAAATAAGTGAAGAACAAAATACATATAACCAGGAGAGGTGGTCTTTTTTCCTACTGCTTTCCTTTTTCCTTAACTTCTCATTCCTGCAGATAATCTTTATTTAACTTATTTTTGCAGGAAATTGCAAAAAACATTAGGAGTGGTGGAAAGAAATGGAAGCACCTTGAAAATCAGTGTGCAGAGGTGATTGAGAATACCTCTCCACTCGGAGCCGCGAGATTGAAGGATGAACTTGAAAAGCTAAGAAAAGCCTTGGAGAAGTTGAAAGTGCTAAGTAGTGAGGAGGAGGAGAGATTGCTCAAGATCCAGCAGTCAGAAAGTGCCTATGAGTACCAAGCCAGACAATTAGAAGCAGACATCCAGGAGCTGAGAAAAGATCTACAGAGACTAGAAAATGACCTGGACCCTGGGGAAGGGGAAAAGACTGAAGATGAGCTTGTAGCTCTGTGGAGAAAATGCAATGTAAGTTGTTACCCCTCATACAGAGGATCGAGTGCAGCCGTAGACTGAGCATTTACAGTCACATCCAACAGGTGCCTGTCCCATTGGTTAAAGGTGATAAGGAAGGGGTATGAGTGTTCATGAAACAGACTGAGGAAAATGACTAACAACAGTGGAATCATCCTGCATCTCATGCTGCACAGAGGGAGCAGGGTTGGAGGATGTGTTGGAGTTTGTGTCTAGAGTTCAAAGGGACCATATGCAAACAGAGCAAACAACACAATTTGTTCCACTTAAAAAGAAGGAAATTAATGCCTCACTGTATATATAAATACATACAAACATGCACAGACATAAATAAAAACATTTCTCAGGTATTTGATAAGACCATTTCTACATTATATCCTTCATCTATATAAGATGGGTATCTGTATTCCTTTACTGGCAGACACATCATCATGACTAAGAAGTCCCAAGATTACAACAATCCAGTATTTACACCAAAATCAATCTGTCACAAAAAATGAGTGCAAAAAAATTCATCACACATAAAGTAGATAAGAATCTTTACAAGTCATTTCCTCTCAAGGGGTGGTTTTGCATTTATTATCTGTTCTCAAAATGCCTTTCATTGCTGTTTGTGTGGCTAGATTTCAGCAGGACTGGCTGGGAAAAGTATATGCAAAAAGGATCCACGAAATTTGGACTAGTTCAATCCAGCTCCATTTGCATGAGTTTTAGCTGTTTTGTTTCCCTGAGTCACCCTAGAATTAACATTCTGCATATGTGAGTCTTTCAGAAGAATCTGTTCATGCAAACAGATGCTGCTAAGACTGCTCCAAAAATGCATCTCATGTTATGTACTACAGTCAGCAAACTGAAACTGCTTGTGATTCCCTCTGTTTAAACAGTGAACCCTGCAGATCAGATGCAGAGTCTGGGCAGTGTGAGGACAGGAGAGAGCCTGCTGGAACAAAACTGTTCCTGATAATGTTTTCTGTCTTAGCAAAGTCCACACATTCCTTACCACTAGGAAAAAAAAACACTGAAAGGGGACTTGTGCATACCCTGAGAGACAGCCTTACTTCTTCATTTCGTGTGCCAGACACTAAAGGTGTAATTTGTTCATTATTTTTATGACTAAGGCAACAAGAGCAGCTCTATCTGCAGAAGAGTCGAAGGTTGAGAGGCTGAAGGCTGAGCTTAAGGAACTGCTACGGTTTTCCCAAGATGTGCAGCCACATGCTGAGAGTGTTGTCTCTGCAATACAGCAGTATCAAAGGTATTGGGAAGTCTGATTATGGGGGGGAGTGGGGGGAGTCTTCTCTCAGACATTGAAGGGACTGACAGGGGCCTAAGAAAAAAGTGATATGCCATCCAGTTGTACGTGATGGGTAGAAATGAAAAGCTTTCGCTAATTACATCCGCCTCCGTGTTTCAGTAAAGCTGTAATTTCAGCCGTTTGCTAGGAGCTGTAGGCTGCTGGTCATTTTCAAGCAGTGATCTTGCATCATTAAAGTTGTGTATGGTTTGAAGAAAATTAGATTGTTGGCAGCTAATTTGATCTTATTAGCATTTTATAATAATAATTTGTGTATTTTGCTTGTCTTTCATGACAGCAACTAGAAAATCAGGACAGGAGCTGTGGTAGTAAGCGGTTCAGAAGAATTATGGCCCTCCCTTGTTGAGTTTGTTGTGGTGACTCATCAGCCTTAGGAATTATTTGGCAGAGTTTATTCTCCTTCTCCTGGCAGCTTATGTGCACGTTCCTGTTTTCAACTTGCCTTGGGTTGGAAACTCTGCAAGTTTAGCCTCTCCCCAGACTTCAGTGTTTCCGTTTCCAGGCTGCCTGGAATCAGGAAGTAAAGAAGCTGCAGCAAATTTGCAAACTAGAAGAAAGGATCTTTTTTTTTAAAGGGAAAAAAAAAAAGGTCAGTTCTTTTCCTGTATCCAAGCTTTTTTCCCTCTGTCCAGTGCGCAGTATGCTGTCCTGCTGAAAGGGTTCTAGGTCATTTTGGGAAAGGATTTCAGTTTAAAAACTAGCAAAGAGGAGCAGAGAAGGCAGGGGACTTTTCTCTTAGTAGAAAATGGCAGCTGCTCTTTTGCCAGCTTCTCTCCAAAGCTTCTTTGGGAAGTCTGGCAGCTTCACACTGAGCCTGGCAGGGGCAGCAGAGCAAATGGCAGAGGACGTGTAAAGTCGAGACTTTCTATTTGCGGAGCTTTTGGCCTCTGCAATCTTGCCTTTGTTTAGCTCCGTCATGTCCCAGTGACACAGGTAAGATTTTTGTTTCTGTTTTTATAGAAAGGCAGTATTGATCCCGATTGGCACTGCTCTCATCTGCCTGTCTTGTGAATTTGCAGGATACTGTTCCCATATGAATATAGAGTTTGGGCTGTGTTTTGCCATTTCAGACAGGATTCTGCAGACTGGGAGGTCAGGAAAGCTGAGAAAAACAGGAGGCAGCTGCACAGGGTGTGTCACTGCTGGGCCTTGTTACTCAACTGTCTTGGATAAGCCTTTATAAGAGAAGCCTGGATATTTATTGAATTCTTGCTGATTTTAACTTTTTTTAAATATATATACGCACACTTCATATAGCTGTGCATGTATGTGGGTACATATTCATAAATACAAAGCTTTAATCAGAATCACGTATTATATGTATTAATATAAGTTCAAGTGGTTCTGCAAAATTTAAAAAATGTATCTGAAATAAAAATGTATTTTTCACATTTTTGTGGGTAACACAGGGTGATCAAAGACTTCTTAATGTAATTTTTTTAAAGGAACAAAGACACTGTAATATGTAAAACAATACAGGCAACTGCAGTTGCATTCTGACACTCTTAGCTTGTTCCTTCCCTCAGTAAGTTAGACTGCTCCAATAATATGATTTGTTACATCACTCTGGTGATAGCCGCCAAGAAGGATCATATACAAGGGTAGACTGATGGCTACTAGAAAGGCAAAGTGTAATTCCTGATACACAGTTGCACAAGAGACAAATGTGTCTTATGGTATCTAAATAAAGTTTTGTCAGATGCCTTTGACTGACAGAGCAGCTGTTGATGTGCAACACCAGGCTCAGACACTAAAAAAGACTGAGGCTTGTGTTGGATATGGTTTACACCTGAGTATTGTATTAATTTATGCCTTGGTGAATAGGATGTTTGGGCTTGGATTTCTTCATAATCCTTCTCTTGGTTGTCACTTTATCCTTGCAGTGTAAAAGGCAAGACTTCTAAAATGAGCACTGATACAGAAACCCAACTGAGAAGACTCTTCCAAAATCCTCTGCAAAGTTTTGAACAGTGGAAGCCATCGGTCCAGATGCTCCTGGAGACTCCAGAGCCAGCACTGGCTCACATTGAGGTAGCAAACCTGTTACTAAGTTCAGAAAGGATACTTGGTTTGTGTTTGACCAAGCCTGCACAGAGCTGCCAGTCACTGCAGCTGGAAGGGTCTTTCCAGTATGGCAGGAAAACCCACAGTACAGATGGAGGTCTTTACTTAGTCCTGGCTGTAGTACATTGTCTTACTTTCTGCCCTACATTTGTTTATCTGGATTTGTCAGCTGAGTAGGCTGCATTAAAGGGTTAGATATCTTTGACAGTGATGACAATATTGTTTAGCATTATGCCAGATCTCCCCAGATGGGAACTCTGTAGACTCTCTTAAGAACTGTGTAGTGATATAGTCATGGGATTATAATCCACGATTTCTGTATGTGCCCAGCAAGGTGTGTTTGTTATTTTGTCATCCCTGTGATCTTCAGACTAAATGTGTCTGTGAACAGGGATTGAATTTATCCTCAGGATGAGCATTCAAGCTGTCCTTTCTGTTGGTTGTTTAGGCCTCTCCTCTGCACAGACAACTCTTTCCATAGTACAGCTTTCCTCTATTTCTGTTCACAAAATGGATGCAGCCCTGGTGCCTCTAACATTATCAGGAAGACTTTTCCTTTAACTGGGCACTGTCCAGGTACCTTCTGTTACCCCTTGTTGGCCCAGCATGCTGTTTTTACTTGACTTTGTCATACTGCTTTGGTTGTGTGACTTGTGTGAGAATAATGATTATATGGTTTTTATTTTGGTTTCTTTTTTTTTTTTTTTTGGTAAGATTTCACTAGAAGGATTTTTCTCCTTTAGGCTGCTCTAGCTGAAAGCTCCCAGTTCAAGGAGAAGTTCATGACATTACAGCTGAAGAAAGATTTGCTGAACAATGTCCTCGGTGAGGAAAAAGCAGAGTCTTTACTTCAAGAAGTAGCTGAAGCTTCAAAAGAGAGAGAAATTCTACACAAAAGTCTGCTGCAAAGCAAGAGCAAACTCCAGGTGAACTACAAAACCCATATACTGTCTTTGCCTGTGACAGAGACAATGGTCAATTCTTTACTAAGCTAGTTTTACAGATATAAATTTAGTACTAGCCAGCCCAATCCCTTTTTCTAGGTTGATCAAATATTCAAATAAATATGTTGTCTGTTGCATAGTGTTAGCTTAGTGTTTGTTCTCAACATGAGGTGGACATTGACAAAAGATAACACCAAGGGATATATGTTGAATTCTGGATCTATTTTCTTCTTTCTCCATCTAGAATTTGATATTGCAGCATAAGAACTTTGATGCTGGTTTTGCACCCTTGCAGAAGAAATTATCTGCCATCAAAGCCAAATTAGATCTAGAGAAGGAATCACGACCTGACCTCTTGGGTAAAAAGACACAACTCCAGAGACTCCAGGTATATTACAGTATTGTTTTTCTATGTGATCCTCAACTAATTGCAGTCTTCTTTGTTTATATTGTCATATTTTATTAGCATTAGGAATTGAGTACCTGTTACTTCAATTGATTGTGTGCTAGATAATTTCATTTGGTCCAGTTTATATCATGGTGTAAATGAAATTAAAGCAAGGTAGACGAAGCATTGGCAAACTGAACTTGAGGGAAGGAACAAGCAGCTGGAAGCTGTTAGTAGCACACTTTCTTGGGCTAGTATTATTGCTAAAGAAAATGGGAGTGAAACTGCACAAGATAACTTGAACCAATCTAACTTCCTCCAAAAGAGTTCCCATTGTACGACCTCCTTTTGCTTCAACCCCCTTACCACTCTTCACCTTGTCACAGCTTTGACAAATGCTGGACTTACTTATGGGCTGATTCATCTGGCCAAGATAAGAACAAAAAAAATCATAATTTTCCTTTTGGTTAGTGTTTTGAACTGGTTCAGTGAAGGGTCCAAGATGCAGAGCCAGTTCAAGGCATGCAGTGGGATTCCATACCTGGGAGAGGGGAGAGAAGAGCAGGAGGGGAAGAGAGAGGGGGTATGACTGCCACGGTGAGTTGTGGTGATCCAGCGATACTGTGCCACTTCGTCCTCGGTGACCCCAGGGCTGTTATCACCATGGCTCTTTGTAGTACTTAGATGGTTATACTATGTATCCTTTGGCAGCTTCTCAGCAACTTCTTTATTATCTGCTGGAAACATGTAAGGACATCCAACCATTTTTTTGAGAAACGTTTACTAACATCAAAACAAATAATTTTCTTAATTGCAGTGATTGCTGCTGGGGTTTTTTATCCTCACACTGTCAAATGAAGCCACCTTTAGTGTATGTTTTGTGGTTCTTATGTTTTGAAGGTCCATGCCATATCTAGCGCAATACCCATATAGAATCTGCCTTTTCCTCTGCAGATGATCCAAGATGACTTGGCAGAACTTGCGATTCACATGGAAGAGGTAGAGAAGCTTGTTCAGTCAAATACCACACACAGGCATGAAATGAACCAACTTTCATCTGACTTTCAGGCCCTGAAAAGATCACTGGAGGTAACATAAACAAGAGTTCTTAGTTACCTGAGGAGTTGTCAGTTGCCACTATTTTAAAATATTTAAAAAATCTTTGAGCATAGGACATGAAATGCTTTGACTGACAGATACTTTCATTTCAGGGGAAGAAGGCCCTGAATTCTTATGACTTTGGTAACTCTTCCAGGATTCTCTGATTATCTGTCGTGTGATTTGCCTTTGGGATAGAATACCATGCACACAGATTTTATGGCTATATAAATTATTTCTGAAGCAGGCCTGAGACTTCTAACCAAAGGACCTCATAGTTATATTATCATGGTGTTGCTTGTACTGCACAGATTCCTGGATAGGGGTTTTGTACCAAAGTGTTTGATTTTTTTATAGCTTTGCAACCTAAGAGTTGATGAGAGAAAAGTGTTACAATTGCATAAACACTTGTATTGTCCTGAGGCAATTTGTAGCTTGTAAACATAGCTATAAACTGACCTTCTAAAGCAGTCTCAGAATAAGAGCTTATTAAATTACCTTAGCTATACAATTCACTATAAAATTACATATGTTAAAGTGCTACCCAAATATGCACTGTGGAATTCTAGTTTCAATCCGAATAATCCTATTTATCACTGAACTGACCTTTTGCCAGAAAAGGCTGTGCAGTCATTTCTGATTCAGGGAGTCTAAGATGTATTTGATACTGACTGGGGTACAAAAAACCCAAACATGCATATATTCTTTATTCTGTTTCATCTGAGAAGGAAGGGAGCTATTGTAGTTCTTAATGCCCCCCCGTGTGGTTGAATTCAGGCCTGCAGGAGTTTGAAAGGTGTTTTCCACACCACTGATGCCAAAGGACAGGCTTTTATCTCTCATTACCAGCTGTTTTTTTCCTTTTTGCCCATGAGATTCTGTGCCCATCATAGGGTCAGACCCAGTAAAGACTCTTCTTTTTGTCTGTCTTTAGTTGCTGACATATTTTTATAATTTATAGGTGATGATACAGCAGAGTGAGGATCATGTTCAGAAGCACTGGGCATATAATGACAAACTGTCGGACCTCCAGCAATGGATCGCAGTAACCACGGAGAAGATTGATTCCTACCAGGATGCTGATGGAGAGCAGAACATCGAGGGCAGGGTAGAAGACCTTGAGGTGAGAGAGGCATCTTAATTTGTTAATTATTAACTTTGCACCATTCAGACATTAAGGGTTGGGCTTTCTAGTGAGGATTTCCTCGTTTAGAGAGTAATGATGGTTTGTTCCTCCTGTGGTAACTATTGATTGCTGCTGCCTCTCTGCTTTGCCCTCTGTTGTGGGGTGTGGAGCTAGGTAAAAGACAAGAGCAATGAAAAATGGCTAATACTGTGTAGATGGATAAAATATTATCAAAGGATAGGTGGTTTTAAAAAGAGCTGTCAGGGTGATCTCCCTGGACAACACCTGCCTTTGCCTGTATGTACGCATTGATGCATTGAATATTACTGCTATTTTAGCTAGCCTTAGACTTTGTTGAACTGAACTGTTCCAAAGCTGCCAGCTTTTCCCTGGATAGCAGTACTTTGTGTGCTAGAGTCCCTCTGGTAGGTTACTTCAGCTGGCAGCTTTTGCCTTCCTATGGGAAACCAAAAGATCCCATGGGAAGGTTACAGAAGGAGGTGCACTGACAACTTGCACCCTTTAAGTTTTGCCATCAGCTTTTTGACCTGCACTGGCTCTTTCCAAGAATCCACAGCATATTTTTTTTCCCGCTAGGTATGTTCTAGCTAGTGCCAACAGAACCAGCATAGTCCTGGACTGAACATGGCCTTCAGTCTGACATAGCCTCTGCTTTACCCAGGATACCTAGAAGTAATTGTAAGGCTGTGCGTTTCAGAGATGGCTAGCTGAGTTTCCAGATAAGGAGATCCAGCTGCACCTTGTGGAAGCTCATGGCCAGCTGGTCATGGAGAATTCTTCTCCAGAGGAGACTGCCCATGTCCAGGCAGAGCTGGATCAGCTGAAGGAGTCATGGAAATCACTTAAGGAGATGGCAACTGGGTAAGTGTTCGTGTAGATCTTTCTCATGTCCCTTCCACAGGATGCTCTTTACTGCTACATGACCAGATACACTTGATGCCTTATGCTTTATGCTGTTAAAGTGAACAGCCATGTTACAATGCTAGAAGCAGGATGGGATTTTATTTAATAGTTTGTAAACTGAAAATCATTACTTTCAAGAAAACTATTTTAGAGAATCCATAAACCAGGGTCTTTGAATCTGCCTTTATCTCATGCTTGGAGTAGGACCTGGCTCACCCCTGGCTCATCTGTGTTGGAGGAAATCAGGCATAGACTAAGTGACTTCTGTCTCACCTCCTGTTCTCCTTGCTTTCTGATCTTGAGATACCTTCAAGGAGGGTGTATCTTCAGTGGGACTTGTGCCTTTTGCAAACCTGGAGAAGTATAAGCAGAGCTAAAATCTTCTCTTATCTGGGAAATGAAGACTTAATTTGTTTTGCCTCCACTGTGCAGTGTCAAACTACTGCTCATATTTGCTAATCTGTATTAAAATTTACTACTGTGCTGCATGTGTAATTATATTTGTATATAGTGCCAAAATAGGCATAAATTGAAATTACTAAATTGAGGAAGGCTTGATTGTAGTGCGTCCTGTTTCTAGAAAGGAAGATGTATTTGTCGTGGTAATACTTTTATTCCCCTGAATAAAAGAAAACAAAACAATACAGTTAGAAATGTTAGAATTAGAAATGCTGCTTTGAGACACTCCTGTCTCGCTCTTATTTTGCTCAAAAGATGTTGGGAATAACTGTAATAGTAATAGTTATAGTAAAAGTAATAACAGTATAATAATAACAATAGTGCTGTTTCACCAGAGCTGTCCTCCATAGCCCCAGTCAAAATATGAATGTCTTATCATTAGATGTTCAACTGCACTGATGTCTCTGGTTTTGTGTTTTTAAGTCTTCTCAAAAAATGGCAGTTAGATAGACCAGTGGCTGATAAGAAGAAGAAAAGAGCACTTATGGACAGCAGATGGATGTCTAGACCTGCCTTCCGTCTTTTAGATGTAGATCCCAACCATAAGCAGGTGAGATGGGGACTCTGTATCTGCCTTCATATCAGCTTTGCAAGAACAATTTTATTGCCTTCAGCTGATATTATGGGTTACAAAGTTGGAGGTTAAGATGTTGCAATCAGGCCTTCAGAGGAAACATCTGACATAATGGTAAAGGGGGTTTTTTGCTGTTGTTCTGTAACCTAGGAGAAGATGGGAGAAAGGCAAAACACAAGCAGCCACTTGAAGCTCCTACACAACTTCGAAGAGTGGCTACAAGGAGAAAACACTGAACTGACCAAAATTCTTGATGGGACTCCGTCTTCCACAGAGGAAATTAAGGCACATCAGAGAAAACTTGAGGTTAGTTTTCAGGGGGTGAAGAGGGAGACAAAGATTGCAATAGGTGCAAGTTCTTTCAGAATTAAAAAAACCAACAACCAAACCCAAACAACAACAACCAAAAAAACCCCAAACCACTTCACCAACTAGGGAACAACCCACCCACCCCCACCCCAAACACCTAAAAAATCCCCAAAGAACAAACAGACAAAAAATTCAGACACTCTACTCTCTGCTTTAGAAGACTCAAGAGTAGATGAAGCTCAGAAACATAAGACAAATTTCATTACTTCTACTAAGAAAGGTCTGCCAGAGCCAGAGTGTTAGAAGGCAAGGGAGCACCTGGCATCTAGCTGTTGGACTGGAAATTTCCAGTGTGGGATGCTAAAGGTGTTCATTAAAAGAAGCTGATTAAAATCAGTGTCTGGTATTTGGCCTCACTCTGAGTATGACCAGATGCAATGGCAATGGAAGCTGTAAGAAATATAATAAACAGAAATATCCAAGGCTACAGGAGTCCTGCAGATTAATCTTTGATATCATTTCAGACCAAAAAAGCAATAACAAAAATAAATGTGCTATTCCAGAGTACCCAGTAGTTTGATTTAGTACCACTGGTTTTTGGAATGCTAGTTTAAAAACTGGGGCCTTCTATAATTCTGAGTTGCTGCTGACCTTGTCTTTGCCTGCAGGAGCTGCAGTCTCGTGTGCCTGATGGTCAGCGTCAATTTGAGGATCTTCTTCACCTTCATTCTGTCATTGGAGATTCTGAAGATCTGGAGGACCTGCGTTACCGATGGATGCTCTACAAATCTAAACTGAAAGAGTCCATGAGTTTGCCGGTAGGTGACAACTTACAATTCACTGGTAACCTCTGCCATTACTCTTTCATGTTGCTTCATGTTGCTAGTCTTAATTCAATATTACACATGTTAATTAATTAAAGGAGTTGTGTGCTTTTTCCCTTTGTAAACAATGCTCAAAATATTTCTCAAAATGGAAGGTTCAAAACAGAATGACAACTGGCTGTTGTCAAAGAAGGATGAAGTTTGGGACTGAGAGGTGTTTGTGTGTGGGAATAGATTGGATATATGCCTAGTTCTAGGCACATGAATTTCTATTTTTTTGCCCTTTCTCCACACAACATTCTCTATTGATTTTTTGTTTTGACAGTTCCTGCAGTAAGAATATATTTGCTGTTCATTATTTGTGTCTCCTGCTGTGAGACTGATCAGAATAGTCACTAACTCAGAGTAACTGTGCACAGAGGGACCTAGTCCTTTTTGAAACTGTCTTTATGGGTTAATGATTTGGAATGAAATAAAGAGGAGGTACTTAAGTGCAAGAAACAAATTATTAAAGAAATTACCGAGTTCTTATATAAAAGAATTGCTAAGTATAGCAGAATTCATACCCATACATAAGATGTTCCAGGGTATGCTAAAGGTATTCCCATATTCTTAGCATGAACACATATAATTATTAATTAATACTTTTCTAGCTTAACTACTCACATTTTGTGCTCAACTTCAAACTACCATAATCAGAGGATTAGAATTTACAGGTTTGCATACTTTCTGTATGCAAGCGCTTTGAAAGGTATCCGAACTCAAACACCTAAAATCTGAGGCATTTGAAAAATGTCTGCCTTGGGAAACCCTGTCTTCAAATCCAGAGATTATTTAGAACACAAATCCTTTGAACTGCTTGGAAGGTAAACACAACCTCTGTCAATAAAAAGTATATTTCTAAAAATCGTTTGGCATTGATTGTAATGACTTACACTTCCTTAACCACAACCTTCTGTGAGCATAAATGTGGTCAATAGGTGTCAGTAAAGTCAAAGCAATTGCTGGAAGAACTGCTCATCGGATTCAAATAGTCAAGAACCTCAAAACATGTCATCTCTCTGCCTAAGGTGTGTTAAAAAGCTCATTAAAAAAATCTCCTGCTGGTTCACTCTATCCAGGTGAACATAAACTCGAAAGAAACATCCCCTGTGAGGTGAATACTCATTTATAGGCTCCACTGGGATCTTAAATTTATGCTTCTTTTTTTTTCTTTTCTTTTCTTTTTTTCTTTTAAACAGATTCTTGGATCTTGGGAAGAACCAGACAGATTCAGAAAGGTATGACACTTTCCTATCATTAGCTAAAATGTTCAATCAGATGTTTTGCAGAAAATTACTTTAAAGTTTTCTAAAGATTTTTGAGATTAATTTGCTTATGAAGAGCCACTCTTAAAACAGTTATTCATTTTCTCCAGATTTTAAGAGGAAAGATATTAGAGTTTTTGCTCTTGAGCTGTGCTTACTGTGTCTCTTGAAGCTAAATATCCATCTCCTGGTAGAGAAGGGAACTCAATTCTTTTATATCTACATGCTATATGAACTTAAGTCATTTTTCAAAACAGACTAAGGAAGAACCTAAATATCTCTCTGAAGGATTTAAGGGATAAGTGCCTAAAATAATTTTGAAAATTGTACTCTTAATTCTTTAGACACTTGTGAAAAAAATGCTTTGCATCATTCAGCCCACCTTTTTTCTAATGCAGAAAACCAGAGAAAAGCAAGAGATTTGTCTAACGTTATTGGACTAAATCCTTATTCTAAGCAGTAGAATTCCTCCTGTGAAGGATTTTCTTTTCAAAGTGATGACATAAGAAACAGAAGCAGTACAGGAAATGATAAGGAGAAACTTAAAGAAAGCAAACCACTGCCAGTTTCTTATTAAACCAAGCAGCACTTCTGATCCCATTTTCAAAAAGTCAGCAAGTTTTTCTGTTGAACTCAGTGTTGAACGGAGCCTTTCTCTCTCTCACAATTTGCTTTGTTTACAGATGCTGTTAGGTTCTACTTTGTACTGTCATCTCACTTTCCATTTGTTTTTGGAAGGAATAGAATAAGGTTTTATTTACCCAACATGAAGTAGATTGAATGAATAATGTGTCACAGAAACATAATCACATTGTCATTTTAAGCTAAATCAAACCCTTAATTTCTCCTGTTGCAACATCTCTTTAGAAGAGACCAATATTTAAAGGGTGAAATACAGTACATTCTAGTGATGGCCAGAAAGCAAGGTTTTCTTCATTCAGATGAGATATTCCTCTGATACTCAAATGTGGAGTAGCATCTCCAGTATTTTTCCCCAGCAAAATACTGAGCAGTTTTAAGGTAATTTTCACATGTTTCCTGAATAGTTTTGGCCTCAGTTCAGCCTTCCTGAAAACCCCCAAAGAGTTTCTGTTCTTGCCTGTCTGTCTCAGCATTAATTGTTTCACTCAGGAAGGTCACTAGAATTTTTCAGGCTGGAAAGACAATATGACACTTTAATACTTGGTGTAGAGGCAGCCAACCATTGAGTAGTGCAGCTTTTCCCTAGAAGAGGTCTAAAGGGATATTCCAGAAGACTGACCAAGGAATTCTCATTTCATATTATTTGGTTGAATCAACTTGGTTATAGTGAAAAACAAACCAAAAGCTTTAGGCATAAGCACATCTCCACTACAGTTGAATGCCATTTTTTAATTCATCCGCCTCACCTGCCTCCGGATACATGGCATTTATTCGTCCTTAAATTCTCTAAATTAGACTTAAGTCTTCAGTTAATTTTTCAAGGATACTGCAGTAACATAATGTCAGGCAGCAAACGTTTGTCAATTAGTCCTACAGCAAGAGCACAAAAAAAACATTCTGTGAGTTTTTAGTAGCTACTGAACACAAACAAAGAGAAACAGCTCAGAGTGGGAAGGAATGAAGAACTGAAATACCTCATAAGCGTGGGGGAAATGGCTCCCACTGCACCAACAATGATTTGCAGTTTCCCTTCAGCCTGCACAGATGTTGCACTAACTTAGACCCTGATCACTTCAGGGAGATTTTGCTGACTTCAGAGCTTTTATTCAGTGTTTAAACAGTGTCACTACAAAGTGCTGTAAGCAGAGGTGTCTATTTCTTTTTCTCTTTCATTCAGGCTAAGGGTTTTATCAGGATGTGAGCTTGTGTTGCCCTAAGATTGTTGAGCACCACTTAGGAGAGCCAGAAAATAATGTTGATTCCTTTTGGGTGCATCACTGTTTGGGCTAAGAGAAAAGGAAAAGCAAGCCAACTGCAGAATTCATGGCTTTGCACTTCACTTTAAATTCAGATTTAACACCTAAAGTGTAACTAGAAATGAAAGCAAGTTTAGGCAAAATATTTTTGTATTCATGAATATCCTTTCAAAGCCATGGTGAAAGAAACCAACTACCCTGAGAAAACAGCTGATCTCAGAGTTACTATTTGCAGAAACTGCACATGGTTGGGGCTGCATCACTGTACTTGCAACATCCAATGAGTTTGCATGCAATAAGATCAGGTTGTCTCTAATTTGTCAGCTCCTTCGTGCTTTTGAGCCACACAAAATCAGTAGAAGTGTCAGAATTTCAGGTTGGTTCTGGACTGATCTCTGCTTTTTGCAACACAAGATCACCAGTGACTCTGCTCATCTCTCCTGTTTGAGCTGTGAATATTTTGCAGCAGCAGCAGATCAGTCTGGAGAAGCAGAAGACTCAGTTGCAACCAGTCTTATTCCACTGAGTTCCAATTTTATTCCATTTCTAGCCTATGTGGCAGAATAGGGCCTGTTCCATGTATAATAATGTGCTTTTTTCCTGATCATTCATCCATTGCTGAGGACATGCCCCCAGCCACTGGTGCCCTTAGGAGCAGTACAGGCTAATGATTGCGATGTGAGCAGCTTCTTGTTGATTAATAAAAAACATTTGCAGGAAATTGCACTGGCTGCAGTGAATTTTTAGCAGGTGCCAGTGACAGGGCAATGTAGATGGATATTTCTGCAGGGTACCTAGCACACTCAGGAACATAATCAAGCAAGTGCTCAATAATAACTATGATAAATGTTACTTTCAAAGGTTGGCTCCCAGCTACCTGAAAATACTCCACGAGCATTTTTAGCATAAATAGGAAGTCAAAGCCTCATTATTTACAGGTCTAGGTAGCACTGTTTGATTTATTTTCCTGAGTGCTCAGGGTAATTACCCTTCCTTGCTAAACAAACAATCTGGCTTTATTGTTTGTACAAACAAAATAATTAGAATTCATTACATCAGTGGTCAGCTAATTGCTTCCTTTGAGATTCTGCTAAGAGTAATCTCCTATAACATACAGACAGAAGGAACGTGTAATTTAATCTTGTTTAGAGACACCATTGATCTGGAGTCAATCAAATTAATGCAGTCATTCAGGAAACTGTGCGAAGTAAGAGCTGCCACAGCTTGCCAGGAAGAACACACTAATGTGCTCTGCTCGGCTCAAGTGCAAATATGACAGGAGTTCCTCATGGCAGAGTCACACTACAGAAAAGCACAGCATGGTGAGTTAGTGCCTGTGTTAGTAGTGCCTCTCTATTAAAGTGTGACCCATTTGTTTTCCTGAAGTCCTGCTGGGTGTTAGCTACTTGAAATCTGTGCAATTACATTCTCATTAAAATTAAAAAGACATTAAAAGGTATCTTTCCCTCAGTTTTCAAGACCTGTTTTATAGGTACAGATAATATCTTTTTTTTTTTTTTCATCTCTGAGCCTATAAGTCTGTGCTTGCCTTTTTTAGGAATTATACCATGACCTAAACACAGTATGAAGGGTATCTTAGTGCTAAAAATTAGCAGGTAGACTTATTTTCTCTCAACAGTGATGTTTGTTTGGAAGGAAATTTAGTTTAAAAAAAAAAAATCCCTGAAAATCCTGACTGCCTCTTCCTGACTCACCCACTCCTAAGTATGCTGAGCCAGGCAGCAGCATACCGTCCTTTTTCCAGCAGACTCACAAGCTTCCCTTCATGTTACTGCACCTGTGAGACTCCCTGCCTGTCTGCTCTTATTTCTGTAGGTTTCAGTTGTTTACCAACTTACATTACAGTATTCCCAAATGTTAGGGGCTTTTTGTTGTTTGTCTGTTCCTGCCACATCTGTACCTTGCCAATGCTCTCTCTCTGCAGTAGTGACGGTGCATGGTGGTGAAGACATCTTGCTTCCCAGGACACCTGGTTCTTACTCTCTTTTTAGAGGTGTGTCTTTTTGCGGCCTGCCATGTTGTGAAGTATTTGCAGATTTTCACCAAGGAGATAGCTCAGAATGGTCTTCTCAGCAGATGTAATTTTACCTCCTAACTGAAAGGTAACAAGAGAGAGAGAGATTTGCTGAGCAATAGCATAATGCAACCAGTTTTCAGTATCTTCCTGAAAAATGTTTTTAACACTACTTTAAAAAGCATAGTCAGAAAAACTCTTCAAATTGTTACCTCAAATTGTATTAGTTTTTGAAAAGTAAGCCATCACATTTTTGAATTATTTAAATAAAATGCAAACGTTATTCAAATTATGTATGACTGCTGAAATTCAAGAAAAGTGATCTTGACTTGAGAGAAGTCAATGGTAAAGCAGCTGGAAACATACATTGTTGACATCGTGAACTAGCTTTTGATATCAGTAACTTCTTCTACAAGTTCCAGAACATTTTGTCTTTGTTTCAATTTTTGTTCTTTCTACGCTCATTTTAGTTAGTTTTATTTCGGCTTGCAAGGATGAGTGGAAGCTGGAAATTGGGAGAAGTTGCTTTACTTCTCTGCCTTCCTGAAGACTTGCAGAAACCTGAAGTCTCCTACTAAATTTCAGATACACTGACTAAAATGTCATCCAGCTACCAGCTGCTGAAAACTCTCCTAACAGTAGTACAGCATTGCCCTTAATACACACAGCAGTGCTGTGGGGGTCCTGGGCAATGGCAAGTTTAATGTGAGTCAGCAGTGCCCTGGCAGCCAAGAGGGCCAACCGTGTCCTAGGGGGCATCAGGCAAAGCATCGCCAGGTGGTCACGGGAGGGGATTGTCCCGCTCTGCTCTGCACTGGGGCAGCCTCACCTTGAATATTGAGTGCAGGTTTGGGTGCCACAATATAAGAAAGATATTAAGCTATTAGAGAGTGTCCAAAGGAAGGCAACAAAAATGGTGAAGGGCCTTGAGGAGAAGCCATGTGAGGAGTGGCTGAGGGCACTTGGTCTGTTCAGCCTGGAGAAGACTGAGGGGAGACCTCACTGCAGTCATAACTTCCTCATGAGGGGAAAAGCAGAGTCAGACACTGATCTCTTTTCTGTGGTGACCAGTGACAGGACCACAGGGAACGGCCTGAAGTTTTGTCAGGGGAGGTTTGGGTTGGATATTAGAAAGAGGAGTTTGTCACCCAGCAGGTGGTTGGATACTGGAATGGGCTCCCCAGGGAAGTGGTCACAGCACCACGCCTACCAGAGTTCAGGAAGCGTTTGAAGGATACTTTCAGGCACATGATGTGACTCTTGGGGAAGGTTCTGTGCAGGGCTAAGGGCTGGACTCCATGACCCTTATGGGTGTCCCTTCCAAATTGGCATATTCTGTGATTCTGTGTGGTATATTTGTTGGGACAAATTATATTGTTTATGAGTATATTAAAAACTGGTGGAGTATTCCTGTGTTTTTAATTGCATTCAGTTAAAGTCAATGAGCAGCTCAGCCCCTCCCTTCAGCCCCTGTAGTGAGATGGGGGAGAATTGGAAAGGTAAAAATTCATGGGTTGAGGTAAAGGCAGCTCAATAAGTAAAAGAAGGAAAGAAAGTAAAACAAGTGATAGAAAAAAACTCCAGTGGCTCATCACCAGCAAACTGATGCCCAGCTAGGGCAAGGGCAGACCTGATAAAATTCCCTCCCTTTTTACTGCTGAGCACAAGGTCCGATTGTATGGAGTATCCCTTGAGTCAGTTAAGTCAGCTGTCCAGGCTGTGTCCCCTCCCAACTCCTTGTGCACCCCTAGCCCCTTTGCTGGTGGGGTGAGGTGAGAGGCAGCAAAAGCCTTGGCTCTGTGCATGCACTGCCCAGCGAGAACTAAAACATGGGTGTGTTATCAATACTGTTTTCAGCACAAATCCAGTACATAGCCCCATACAAGCTGCCCTTTTAACTCTACCCCAGCCAAAACTGGTACAACTGGTTTAATACCCTCTTACCCTGTATTGAACCTTTTTCAAATGGGGATATTGCAAAGGGATATTCCATGCCATACAGTATCATTCTCAGTATTTGAAATGGGGGAGGTGGCTGGGAGGAGTCAATCACTGCTGAGGGATGGGCTGGGCATCAGTCGGTGGGTGGGAAGCAACTATGTTGTGCATCACTTGTCTTTCTTGGGGTTTATTTTTCTTTGTTGTCTCCCTTTTAATTAAAATTATATTATAATTATTGTTTTTATTATTATTTTATTTAGATTATGAAACTGTTCTTATCCCAACCCACAGGTTTTACCGTTTTTTCCAATTCTCTTCCCCTTTTCTTTGGGTGAGGGATGGGGGGCAGAGTAAGTGGCTCTGTAATACTTAGTTGCTAGCTGGAGTTAAACCTCAACAACTGTTTATGTGCTGAAGGTGGGACCAAACCAGGGACCTTTTCTCCTTGCTTAGGTCTGGAGAATTATAGGAAATCAGTGCTACTTAATGACTTGTTCTATGACGTGCTTCTCCTAAAAATGTATCATGTTGTATATGCACACAGAAGCTAACCTTTATAAATCAGCTTGTGTCACAGTAGCATATGGCACAGCAATTAGGTCTAAGTGACTTTGCAGCAGAAATATCTGCTGTATATGACTGCTGAAACCTCAGATACAAACTGCTGGCTCTTCCTTGTTTTCTGTTTCTTTTAAATGAAGCCTTCATCAAAGATTCTAACTTGTCATCCAGATGTGTTGAAGGACCCCAGAATCCCACCTAAGGAAGAAAACAAAGTCTTTAATTTGCCTATATACTTATTTACATACATACACTTAGCTCTTCAGAATCAAGAGGAATGTTAAGGTTGTGAAGTCAAGCAATCTGAAGTTAGAAAATGTCAGAGCTAAAATTGCTTGTATGACCACAGTTAACCTCCCTTCAGCCCATTCATTCTGGTAGCTCTTTATGAGATGGAAAATGATAAGTACAGGACTCAGTGGGACCCCAGCCCTTCTTACTTATTCCTCACTGCTGGTGGCCTAACCTGGGCAGTGTTTGCATTTAGGGAAAATACAGTTCTGAACCCAGTGGCTCACTGTTTTTTTGCAGAGGCCATAGAGCCTCTGATCAACAGGATCCATCTCTTAGTCGCTGCTGTGGTTTATGGGATTGTGCTTTGCCCAAGAGCCTGTTGGATGCTCAGTTCTCTGGTGGCAGTAGTATCCAACTCTCCCAAATTATTTCCCTCTTGAAAAGACCAGCTGTGATTTGCAGCATGTTGTTTATCTTAGAGAGGGACACTCATGACTCTGAGTTGAGAACTGATGAGGAGCCCAACCCCAAACTGTCTCACACTGAGGTAAAAACCCAGTTTGGTTTGAGAGAGCAGCCTGTGATTTCTCTGAAACTGATCTCTTCTTGTTGGCGATAATCTGTCTCTGTGAATGACAAGTGAATAAGTATCCAGTGGGATCTCAAGGGGCAGAAGGAAGGGGCCTGTGTAGGTTTGTGTAGGTTCACATGGAAACTGGACAACTATCTGGAGGAAAGATTCCAAGTGTTAAACAGATGTACAAGCTGCATCAGATTGAGGAAACTACCTGAGCTGAAATAGCTGGAGGCTGAGAATATTAAGGAGAGAGAAACTATTTATCCTTGCCTTAGCACCTATGCATCTGTGCCTATTGCTGTGGAATAGAGGATACTAGGGCTGGGATACAGCACTGGCATGCAGAATGGCTGTTGGTGTCTCTGCAGAGTGTCTGTAGGACAGTAGGGCCTTGGTCTCTACCCCTGGGGAGAGCAGGAGTTTTCAGGCAGCAGTACATTTTTCAGGAAATGCTCTGAGGTCAGAGGAATAAACCCAGACTAAATATTTTTTCTCTGCTGGATCACTGAGTCAGTGGTGTAGGTATGATTTTTGTCAGGCACACTGGTGACATACAAGCAAGCAGCAAAACCCCACTAATGAGCTTGGTATAAGATGCTATATTGCTCTGCTCCCTCAAATAGCTAGATTAACTGTGTGTTTTCTTATACCCTGGAACATGGTCAATAGCAAACTAGAGAGAGCACTGATTTTTAGTAAAACACTTCAGCAACTTACAGAGGAATATTATGGAGCAAGTTCTAAAGTGTTTTTCTGCTGTTTCCCATCCAAGTGATTTTTCACGGTGCGTTTGGTGAGGAGTTATTAACTGCAAACAGATTTAAGTTCTGAGGACTCCCTAGATCTCAACCGATGCTTGTCATTCAAATGCCCCAACATGAATCAAGTACAAATGTGAATGTTCACAGCCAGTGCAGTTCATTTGGTAACAAGCATGCATTTAGCATTACACAAAACGCAGCCCTCCACCCCTTGACAGTCCTTGCTTGTCCTGGTATTTTGAGGGAGAAGGGGGAGGACATTTTTTCTTGATGGTGAACTTTAAAAGTATATTTTCTTTTTAAATGCCAACCTATTCCTTTTCCATGTGTGTTTCAAAAATGTCTCTGACACTTTGGCTCAGTACCTAGGTATTCCAGCTGTTATTCTAAGATGGTGGAAATTAAAGTTCTGTTGACTTCCCTGGAGCTTTGCCAGTTTTTCTCAGAGGAAGATTTGATTTCAGAATATTTTGTGGAGCCTAGATCTGACATATGCACTGCAAGCACTGTGGGTGCTGGGTGGTAAATGTACTGCTGCCAGTAGCTGGAGTGATTCAGGAAGGGAAGTTCCACGGTGTAGCAAGGGTTGCCGTTCTGACCCTTGATCTCCTATGCAAATTAAATGTTCAAACTGTCTATTGCAAAGGTGGAACTATGTTAGACTGGCCTTTTCTAATGCAGAATGATGTGCTAAAGGGTTGGGAATGTGGTCCAGATTCCAGGTCCTTGATGACTTTGAGCCCAGGAGAGCAGAAGTTTGAACCTTGGCTTCCTGAATTTCCTGTTGGTGCCATAGTGTCAGGTCACCACAGCCTGAAAGCATCTCTTTTTCATGTCACTGACCTAAAAAAATACCTTTACTAAGTAAAATTGAAGGGCTGCTTTTTACAGAGAGGTGGAGTCAGTGCCCCTAATCTACCCTGCTTTTTCCAGCTCGATTCTCTTTCCTAATAAAAGTCACTGTGTCTCCTTCATAATTTTTTTATCCTTTAATACCTGTTGTAATACTGCAACAAAAAGATATCACCAATTGTTCCAGCAAGCACAAAGCAAGAACTAATATAGGTTTCATGTCACAACAACCTGGGCATTTAAGTAATGAATCCATTTGTAAGGTATCTGCTGTACTCCATGGACAAGTAGTTCTCAATCCTGACTATATTTAGTTGTCTCTGTGCATAATCCTTCTGCAGACTCCGAAGTTAATGATAAATCTCCTATGCATTTCAGTGTGTGTAGGTTGGGGCCCTTGTATATTAAGGGTTTATTACTGCAAATTTGCTGAAAGTACCAAACCCTCACTGCCCCTCATTTTTAGTCCTGCAGAGACATCATAACACCATGTTTGTGATAACTGAGTCATTCCCATGACAACAAATGGAGTCAGAAAGATTCTGACCTTCCTGTGTGATCAAACAAAACAGGGAAGCTGGGCAAAAATGCCTATAAACCCAGCAAGCAGGTGGGAGAGAAGCAGCAGATAAAGACAAAATATTTCTCCTTCTCTGAAGTTCTGCCCCAGGGTAAATGTCCCTCCACAGGTTTTTCTCATGCCAGGATCTGCTGTGGTTAGCATAAGTATCTTCCCCTGCAGAAAGCTCCAAGGAGAGCAAACAGTAGCTTGTTAATAAAACCACTTCACATTAATTCTTTCTGGAGGATGAGCTGTGAAAAGCAATACAATTTTACAGATCCTTCCAGTACATCTAAAAGCAAGGCACTTAAATAGCATTTCAATTTCATCCCATTTCTTAGAATTGCATTTGTAGTCTTTGCTATAGAAATCCAGGCAGAGTCAGTGATGTGCTCTGAATCAAATGCTGCATTGGTAAAGGAATTGGGGTACAAAAAATGTCAGCGGCTAACTGGGAGTGTGGTCATCACAAGAAACCAGCAACAGATCTGAGTGACCATAAGATTTCTGCTCCCTGGGCTGTGGCAGGAACGGACAAGGCACAACTGGCTCAGTCCACATTTCCCACCAATTCATAGGCACAAAGAGATAATTGGGAAGAGAGGTGTTACAGCTGGTCTGGCAGTTAAATAATAGTTTCAGATTAAAGTAGCTTTCAAAACCAATGCTAAAAGATTGACAGCAGTAAAACAAAAGTTGTAGGTGCTGCTAGGAAGACTGGCAATCCTCACAGCTGTATCAACGGGTGATGGACTTCTAATTCCCACTTTATGCAAACATTTTTGAGACTTCCAATCATAATGAACCATTGAACAGTCAGTCACAGGATCCCACAGTTTAACAACATCAGCATTAAGACTTACTGTGCCTTAGTGGTATACCAGAGAGCATGGTTTGAATTGTCCTAAGGCAGAGGTAACTCGAATCTGATCTTCCACTGACAGAACCACACCTGATAACACATTAAAAAAAAAAAACGTGCTCATGGCTTCTGGAGTCTGGAAAGAGTCTCTTTCCATATAGATGGGGCACTCTGATAAATGTATTTGCCATATGGCTGTATATTATGGATGCAGTGAAGAATTAAGAATGAGAAATGGTCAATGAAAACAGAGCTGTCGATGACAGTCCACTGGCTTACACTGACTGCACCAAGGAGTGACTGTTTTGTGGCGTTACAGAGACAAGCCCAGGCAGGTCATACGAAGAGTTGTGGCTGCTGCCCTTATGCATAACAGATTAGTGTTGACTGTAAACAAAGAATCCCTGCAGGATCTTCCAGCCCAGAGGCTAATGAAATCCAAGGGAGATAAAGGATGTCAGATCTGAACTCCAAGAGTAGAAAGTCCCATTAGTACAGCTACTTATGCCTGATACTTCAAGAACAGGTCAAAGCATTAACAGAGGACTCCTGCTAAACAGGTTGGTGAAGCTTTGATTTTGTGGGTAAATGATCACTGTACCCAGGGAACTTGCCCAGTGGTGCTCAAAGTCAGTCCCACTTACTTCCTGGCATGTACACTTCAGCCACTGACAGTTCCAGTGTTGGGGATCTGAGTTTTCATTGGCCTCAGTGAGCAAATTACAACCCAGATATCATGGGCCAGAAATGGCAGAGCAAGCAGCTGTTGCTCTGCTGCCTCTACATCTGCCTGACACAATAATTAAGTCTCATCAGCCATTTGGTATAATGGAAGCAAACCAACGACAGCAGAAGGATTTTGCAGCACAACTGTCTCATGATGTGTAACTGCAGCTATATATTTGTCTTCATAATTAATTCTGTAAGCATTTATATAGCACTAGAAGGGACTGAGTAATTTAGAAAGCAGTGGAAGAGACTGTTAAAAATAGCAAAAGGCATAGTTACTTTTTTCTATCATCAATCTCCTCCTTATCTGCTCTGCTGATGTTTCTCGTGGACTATGCACAGTGATGCTGTAATGGGACAAAGGTATTGCCTGCTAAGCATCCCAGAGGGGCCAGAAGCCCTAATTTTGCTGCAGCACTGACATTGCCTGTGTCTTGAACACAACAAATACACTTTCTTTTGTGGACAATGTGGGTCCCACTTCGGTGGATGTTTTGTACTGATATTTGTGATGTAGGCTGGTACCTAATGTTGTAGCTGTGTTAAAGGCTGCATTTATGCTCAGAGTTTAATTCCTTGTTTGATGAAATGAACAGGTTATCTCTTCTTCAGGATTCCCTTACAGATCGTTGACTTGACCTTTTTTTTTTTTCTTTTTTTCGGGAAACTCATGTAGTGTAGCTTGTTGTCAGGAGTTACCCAGGAATCTTGCCAGTGAAAATCTTCCTTCTTAATTACATTTTTTTGAACTCTGTAGCCCCAAATTTGTTATCTCCTGGTCATGCTAATCCAGATTAGATTCATGAGATTAATTGAGCTACTCTAAATTTGCACCAGCATAAAGAAAGTGTATTGGGACTTCTTTGTGTGTCCCTCCCATGAGTGCACTGCAATAGATGTGACTTTATTGTCTTCTTCGCTGTCATTGTTGTGTTTCTCTCATTCTTTTGCATCATATAAAATTTTAATATGGGCCTAGTAAGTTATAAGAGGTACTGAGTCAGGCTGCACTACAAGGCCTTTTTTCTGACCTCCAACCTTGTAGATTCCAAAGCCAGGATCCAGAGCATGTTGCAGCTGGGGAGATGACGATCAGCTGTGTGAGCTGCCAAAGAAGCTCCTTCCTGCTGACAGAGAGCAGAAGGCTGGCTCCTCTCTTCCAGGCATCAGCATTCTCATTTTACTGACTGAAGAATAATTAAAGCTGACCTTCTATGCCATATGCTGGCTGGGAAGGAACCAGTCGGCAACTTGGGCATGAGCATTTGTAACCACCACTTTGTAATTGAAAAATGGACTTGGAAGCAATTGTTTTCTTCTAGAAGGTCAGCAGTGTTTTCCTTTTGGAAGACAATGGTTTGTCGCAGTGAATTCTGGAAGATAGTGAAATATTTTCCTGAAAGACATAATTTAACTGCCAGCTTCAGCCAGCTTCAGTGTGCCAAGCACCCAGGCTGGGTCCTAGGGCAAGGACAAGGGTTGTTCAGACCCTCTACTCAGCAGTTTGATGTAATTGAAATGGGTGTCCCCAGTACCTTATTTTTCTGAGTTCTCTTTGGTTTGTGTCTTTCAGAAGCGCTCTGGAGGCGTGTGTTCATACCTGCATCGAGTGTGCTGGGCAGCACTGCCACTGCAGCTCCTCCTCTTGCTCCTCCTGCTCCTGGCCTTCCTCCTGCCGCTGGCAGAAGAGACCCACAGCTGCACACTGGCCAACAACTTCGCTCGGTCCTTCAAGCTGATGTTGAGATACGAGGGCCCACCCCCAACCTAACTTCTTGGCATGGCACGAGGTGATGGGCAGAAATACAGACTCTTGGTTTTTAACAATTGCAACTATTGTAGATTTTAGGGCTTCTAACAGGGCTGTCATATCAGCTGGATAGGTCACATAGGTGCAGCATAAGATTAGTCCAATTTAATCAGGTATTTGAGCAAAATTAATATTTTTACAATATTTTATTATTATATTTATAATATGTATATAGAGACTGTCTATGTGTATGTATGTATGTACATATATGTATAAATGCATATCTGTGGTCAAACTAACATCCATCATCCACTCATTCGCTGTTTTAAGGATAATCCTGGGATGTTTCTGTTTCTGCCATCTTTCAGCAAGCAAAACTGAAGGATGGTTTTGTTGTGGGGTTTTATGGGTGATTTTAAAATCAGATTCTTGTTTACAACTGAAGTCAGAGCACCTATGGAAACGTGGACATGCACCACAGGGCAGTCTGGAGAGCAGGCACAGTAGGATCAAGTTTGAATGCAGTGGTTGACATTCAGCCCAAGAAAGATTTGGACTATCCTATTTGAAATCTTGAGCTGCTTTTTCAGTATCTGGATACAGGGATTTCAGAAGCTAATGGAAATGTCGCTACTGACTTCAGTTGAAGTGGGGGTGGACCTCCTCTTGTTCTCATTTTTTACCAGATTTCTTTTCCAATTACTGTGTTCTCCAGCCCACCTGAATCAGGAGAGGTAGAATACAGTAGGAAGAAAGTTGAGAAAAAAGAATATATTTTTTTATCATCTGTTTAGCAGGATAACTTTTAAAATTAGGTCATCGTTTTCTGAACAAATTTGTGAGCACTGAACAAAACTTTGTATCATCTATCTTGCATATAAAAGGCAATGGGGTTTTCTCTGTTCTTTGTGGGGTTTTGTTTTGTGTTTTGTTTTTTGGTTGTTGGTTTTTTTTTTTTTTACTTTATGAAAAGAGGCATTTAGTAACGGATCATAAAGCCTGAACAGTGGGATGCAGCCTGGCTCAGTTTCAGCAAAGCAAAAGTCACGGGTACTTTAATAATGCCACCCTGGAAACACCATTCTTTCCTAGGATGATTTTATATTAAAGGTTTATTGAAATGATGCAAACTGATTGTATCAAAGAGAGTCAAGTATAAATTTCCATTTAGGCTAAACTCTAAAATTATGACAACTTGTCATTTATTTAGCTAACCTTATGCCTGATTTATCAAATTTTTGAATGTACATTTTAACATTGCCTTTTAATGTAAAAGCAATTCTCACCTTATTGTGATGAAACCATTCTTAGTAGTGTTTTAATTAGTTGGTTCCTGAAAGAAAAAATGATTTATACAAATGTGTGCCATTTTTGAGAGCTAACCCATAGTGTCTCATGTTTTTAGCCACAGTAGTAATCAGGAAAAAAAAAATTTTAACAGCCTCCTGGCTATGTTGCAGGAAGAACTTGTCTTCTGAGTATCAGTATGGGGTATTCTGTGTTGTTTTCGAAGCAAGTTCCAAAATAATATAAAATCTGTCATGCAGCTAAATTATGTAGTAGCTGAGAGACTGAAGGTGGCAGTCACTTATTTAACAAAACCATTAAAGTTTTGCTAAAGAAGCAAACTTGGGTAAAATAGGGAGGTGGAGCAGCAAGGAGCTCATTATAGGCACAGAATGAGGGAGAACAGGCAGTGTGAAAGAGGAGCAGCTAAACATAGAGAAGAGAGGTGTGCAACAATTTATAAAGCCTAAGAAAAGGAGTCACAATTAACAGAGGACAAAAATAAAGGCTCTGTGGAGGAAAAATCTCAGAATCTTTTATGGTTCCCTCTCCCTGCTACAGTATTGGTACTGTTGCATATTAAACAGCTTTTCTTCAGTAAGATTTAAAATAGGGCAAATAACAGGGACGCTACCGGTGTTCTGAGGAGACCCTCTTTCTGTCTTCCTAATAATGTTGGATTAAAATGTCAAAATTCTGCTAAAAATGGAGAGTGGAAGTTCAAGGAGATGGTGAAGGTAATCAGTCAGAGCCCAAGGATGGCATGAGGAGGAGCTGAGCTGATGTGGATTAAAACTTGACTGTCAGGGGGTATCAGAAGAGCTCTCAGAGCAGGCAGAGGGGACTGGAAGCAGAAAGATAAGGAGAGTGGATAACTGCTGAGCAATAAGACATTCACATCAGGAAGCAAAGGAAAGCCTAAGATTTCTTTCATGACAGAGCCAGATGTAGAGGAGCTATAATTGGTCAGAGAATGGAGCAAATTAATTCTTTCTTTGGAACTGTTCTTTCTTGGGGCAGAGGACATACCTCTTCCTCTCCTCTGATTATCTGTGCAAGTGCCGTGCACATTCCAACACCCTTCCTCTAAAAATTGCTGTCAGCCCTGAGGGAAGAAACCCTTGTGGCTGCCCAGCAAGGAGCTAATCATGACACACATCTCCATTTCAAATTAAATCTTCCAGCAGAAAAGAAGTGTGGAGGAAGAGGGGCCGTAACAAAACCAGCTCTGTGTGATTGTGGATACGTGTAGGTGTGCACACACTTTTTTGTGACGCGGCTACATTGCACTTCTCTGGGTCTTGCTGAGCTGTTCCAGGTGACGAAAGTAAAATACCAGTGAGAAAGTAAAAATAATGAGGAGTAATAAAGCTGCAAGTGGAAATCAGTAGGGAGATAGAAAAGTTTTTTCTGTGAAAGCACAAAATCTCACATCAGATTTCTTTCTGCCCAGCCTGTCTATCTGGGTGATTTGTATGGGTTCACAGATGCATTTGACACCACAGGAGTGTGCAAATGGGGGGGAAAATTTCTACACAGAGGATCATAAGAGAACAACTGCATCACCACCTTGATGTTTCAGTGTTGTGGCAGGTTTAAAAAAACAAAAAACAAAAAAAAAACTAAATTAGAAACACACTTTTGCTGCTGGGATTGCAATCAATTTATTCTGTAGGTCCCTTGTCTGTAATTTTTTGCTTTAAATCTCAGTCAATCCATTCTCATTAACTTAAGTAATCTAAATATCTCACATAAGTGATGAATATTTCTACTTTTTTGCCATGAAAACTATTCAAAGCACAGGACTTTAATTTTCATGTCACTGAAAACAATTTAATTCTTCCATAATGTCATTGATGTTACCTGTCCAAGGCAGGTATGAGATTTTTCTAAGAAAGAAAGATTTAAAAAAAAAACCAAACCAAACCAAAACAAAACAAAAAAAACCTCACAATAGTATGCTTGGACTATAAATACAAAATTTACTTTCTTTTTTATTCTCTTGTGATTTTTTTTCTGAAAAGTCAGTGATACTGATTCCTGGAAGTGTATGTAAATATTAATCAAGTCAGTAATTGGAATAATGAAAACAAACTGCCCAGTCCAGCTTCCAGGAAACTGTACAAATCTCAGATTCCTCAAAACACAAACTAAAGCATACTGTTTCCAAATCAGTCCTGAAAATCATGAGCACAGTTCTTTATCTTTGCTCACAGATGATTTGGTGGTTATACTCTCACTTTTGAGCCTATAAAATCCCCAGCTCATACATCTCTGACATCCAGTCGTAACTGAGGTGTGTTATAGCTCAGGTTCAGACTGGGGCCACTGCCTTAAGACATCCCTTGCCAAAACCTGGGATGCACAAAATAGATAAGAGTCCAAAACTGAGGACTTGCACCACTTTACCCTAATCCAGATCCAACGACTGTTAAAGGCTACTAAAACACTCTAAAATATATCAAATATATTTGAGGTTGTAAATTGTTTGTGCACCTGGTTCAGGCCATGTAGCCTGTTCTCCATGCAGATACCCAGTCTGTTCACAGAGCAGAGCCCTTACAGCTCTCTCCCAGTTCTTTTGCCTGCACTGTTGGACCCAGTGTTTGATTGACCATATTAATAACCCTTCAGTGTTGAAGGCAAAATCCTGCACTCCATTGCCCATGCATTACAGTAAGAATTCTGCACAGCCCCAAAGGCACACTTCAGACACAACCTTTGGCAAGAAAGCAAGCCTAATTTGTACATTATAATTGATTTTGAAGCCAGATGCTTTCAACAGAATTTTCCATGACAGCAGTACATTGAGGTAGAAAATTGCTATTGTGCTACATGTCTATTAACAGCCCTTTTTCTAATTCCAGCTAGCAATTTAAGTGGTATTAAATATTATTTATATATACCCTCTCCAGAAATCTCTGTATGAAAAATATGTTCAGTTCTGAGGACACACATTATAAATGTTGTATTCCTCTGCTAGCACTGAATCTCCAGAGCAGTCATGTTTTCTACCAAGTGCTACCTTATTTGCAGTGACTGAGTTACTTACAAAACTCAAACATTTGAGGCTGTAAATAAAGCTACTAGCCTAACTAGTAAAACCACCTGATGATCACTGAATAATTTTAAGAGCTTTCAGAGTGGCATTATATTTCTCCTTAATCCCTTTTTTTGGAGTAGTTGAAGACCTCAGAGAGAAGAAATGTGTCCAAAAAATGGCTATCACTAGATAGACAGACGGTAATCTCTGCGCATCAGAAGAAATAGCATGGTCTCTTTAGTTGCTCCAGGACCTCAGGAGTTTGCTCCATCTGATCTCCTCTTCGATATTAAATAGGGAATGTTTTAGTTTGATGTGTGCATACACATCTCATTAGCACTAAAGAGATTTGAAGAGTCAGTTCATGTACAAGAATTCTTTTAACTTGTGTCGACAAGAGAGTATATTTCCTCTTTTGTTCAAAAAAAAATTAAAACTGCTGTGTGACAGAGATTCCCAGAGCAAACAAAGCCTTTTGGAATAACTGAACATTACAGACTGAAATTAAATTGTCCACCATAGGAAACTGAAGAAATAGTTTTGCCTTTCAAGAAGCGCTGTTATAAAACCCCCAATAAATATATCTTTGCCAGGCATCATATCTGTCTTTCAAGTCATAGATTGTGTACCCAGCTGGCTGTAAGAACTGCTTTTGGAGACTTTACTATCCACTGGACAGTATCACTTGCTAGTGTGCAGCTGAAAACTTGTGAGCCCAACCAACTAGATCAGCTTCTTCCAGAGTTGCTGGGGGCTATCGAGGATATTCTTAGCAGTTCTCAGATCACTGACCTGCTCTGAGCCATTAAAAGTTTATTGCATTAATCAATCTGTCAATGGTTGGCAACTCCCAGAAACCAGTTTATTAAAATACTAAAGATAATATTTCTGTTACAGACAACATGATTCAATCAGAAACCACTCTTGTTGCTTTTGCCATATTTAAAGGAAGATATCTATTGGTTATACTGGAATATAAACAGTTTAGTTGTAGGTATTGGGTAACTGTGTTGGACAAGGCATTCTGACTTGTACATGTCTGTTTAAGAATTATGGGTTCATGTTGCACTTATTCCATGGTAAAACAAAACAAACCAAAGATTCTTGAATGTAGCATTTAAAAAAACTAAAGCCAAACAGCAAAGAAGAATAGAATAATCTGTCATACAGTTGATTTTTTTTTATTATCTCTTTGTTATTATCTCTTGTCTATCCAATTTAAAATATGACTGTGTGTCTACAAGAGAGTTATCAGTAGATCTGGGAAAAAAAGGAGTATATATCAGGAATATACCAATTCAAACAGTAGCCTAACTGTTCTCTAATCTGCTTCAGCACCTCTGTTCTCTAATCTGCTTCAGCAACTGCCAAATTTTACCTCATTGTACTGTGAGCCAACCACCCTCCTCTTACTAAAGCATGGCTAAGATGAAACTGCCCAGGTTAAGGTACAGCATCCCAGTGGAAGCAGCAGGAGACACTAGGTCTTCAAAAGGCTGCCTGGTTATCTTGATGCAAGAGAGGAACTTGTACAGTTGGCATAATGAGAGCAGCCCAGGACTAATGGCACAGGAACAAGGGCTTGCCATCCTGCTTTACCGGACAAAATTTTGGCAGTGGCCATCAGCACTATTCAGTTTCATGTCCCTCACTGTGGAAGGAGGGTCCCCTCAAGGTGATTCACTCTAGCTGAGATTGGAGCCCTGGAAGTAGCTTTTTCTTTTCGTTAAATACAGAATAAACTGCTAAATTAAACCCCTCAGTGACAGATTAATGGTAGATGGTGGGCCCTGATGCTCCAGGAAAAGATACAGGAAATGCTATTGTAGATAGAAAACGAGTCATGATGATTCTGTTCAATCCTTAGGAGACAGAAATTCATTGTAGAGCTGAAGTGGGAGTTTTTCTGTTCCTTCGCAAGTAAATGTCAGGTGTTGTTTTTAGTCCTCTGGATTTTGGGGTTGAGTCTGCTTAGTGCCTTACTGAATGCTAATGGCTTTCTGGCTTCGGAGCTGTTTATAACAGTAAGCTCCACATTCTTCCTGTGAGTTGTGTGGAAAAGGTAATCCCTGAACTGGTTTTGAATCAGAAACTTTTTGTTT